GTGATCCGCCCGTGTCGGCCTCCCAAAGTGCTGGGATTACAGGCTTGAGCCACCGTGCCCGGCCATATCTATCTATCTTAGTTGTAAAGCTAGCACCTTATTTAGTAAGGGAGCAATACATGCATTTTCTAAGATCCAGAAAAAAGCAAGCATGCTTACTATCTCTACTACTTTGCAACATAGTCTATAGGTATAGCCATGCAATTTGGCAAGATAAATTAATTAGAGGTATGGGGTAGGTAAAGAATAAAAACTTCTCTATTTGCCGGTTATGTGATTAGTATGCATGGAAAATTAGTCAATGTGAAAACTAACTCAAATAGAAAAATAATTTAGTGAAATAGGATCCAAAGTTGATATATAGAACTTAATAGCCTTCATATATATGACAATAAACAATTAGAGATGGTGGAGAAAATTCCTTTTATGATACCCCAAAAGAAGGTTAAATACTGAGAAATAAATTTAACAATAAATGTATAAGACTTATGTGAGGAAAATTCCAAAACAGTTCTGAAAGACTGAAGAAAACCTGAACAATTTGAAAGATATTCTCTGTTTTGGATAGGAAGACTAAATATTACAATGATGTCAGTTCTTCCTAAATTAAATTATAAATATGGTGTAATCCCAATAAAAATACCATAAGTATCTGTTATGAAGTTAAACAAGTTGGTAATAGTGTTCGTGCAGAAAACACATGCAAGAATAGGAAGACTCTGGAGGGAAAAAGAAAACCCACCACTCGCTGGTGGGGCGATGGCTTACGCCTGTCATCCCAGTACTTTGGGAGGCCGAAATGAGTGGATCACCTGAGGTCAGGAGTTTGAGACCAGCCTGGCCAACATGGTGAAACTCCGTGTCTACTAAAATACAAAAATTAGCTGGGCATGGTGGTGGGCACTTGTAATCCCAGCTACTCAGGAGGAGGAGGCTGAGGCAAGAAAATCGTTTGAACCTGGGAGGCGGAGGTTGCGGTGAGCCAAGGTCACACCATTGCCCTCCAGGCTGGGGGACACAGCATGACTCTGTCTCCAAAAACAAAAAAATATGAGGAAGTAGTAATTTTACCAGATATTAAGATATGCCACAAAGCCTTTATAATTAAAATGGTGGGTAGTAGCTCATAAATAGACCAGTGGAACAGAATAAAAAGTCCAGAATTAGAGTCAAATGCATATACAAATGTAGTATGACACTATACACAAGAATAATAGATAGGGATCAAAGAGTAGAGAATGGCCGGGCATGGTGACTCAGGCCTGTAATCCCAGCACTTTGGGAGGCCGAGGTAGGCAGAGATCGAGACCATCCTTGCTAATACAGTGAAACCTCGTCTCTACTGAAAATACAAAAAATTAGCTGGGTGTGGTAGCACACACCTGTAGTCCCAGCTACTTGGGATGCTGAGGCAGGAGAATGGTGTGAACCTGGCAGGCGGAGATGCAGTGAGCCCAGATGGCACCACTGTACTCCAGCCTGGGCGACAGAGCGAGACTCCATCTCAAAAACAACAACAACAACAAAAAACAAAGTGTAGAGAATGAAACATGCATACCATGGTGCGTAGTGAAAGGATTTCTGTTACTAAAATCCAGAGGAAATAAAAAGATGGATAAAACTAACTAAAAATTAAAATGTTTTCACAACATAAAGTCAAAAGACAGCTGCCAAACTTGGAGAAAAAATATTTATGACATATACCACAAAGGGGCTAATATCCCTAATATGTAAGAACTCTTAAAAGTTGAGGAACAATGACCAAAAACCCAATGGGAAAAAGACATGAACCAGTAATTCACACAAAAAACATGAAAGTTACTCACAAACATGAAAAAATGCTCAAACACACTCAAAATTAGAGAAGTGAAAATTAAACCTACACTGAGGTACCTTTTCTTCCTATCAGACTGGCATAAATTTTAATATGTAATACATTTTTTGACAAGGCTGTGGGAAACAGGTGGTTTTTTGTTTGTTTTTACATTTCTGAAGAGAATGCAGATTGTTAGAACTTTTCTGTAGGGTAAATTTTGTAATACTTAACACAATATTACATATATGTGTACTTTTTGTCCCAGCAATCCCACTTCTAGTAATTTATACCAAAGATACCCCTCGAACAATATGAAAACATGTGTGTTCAAGGTTATTCCTTGAAGTATTGTTCATAATTGCAAAATATTTGAAATACCTTAAATATACAGACATAGGAGAGGAGATTGTTGAATATGCTATGGGAAATCCACACTGTAATATTTTGCAGCCGTAATAAAGGATGAGAAAGGATTAACTCAGAGTAATTTCTAGTACATTCTATTAAGTGGAAAAAGCAAAGTCCCAAAGTATATGCCACCTTTCATGTAAGAAAGGTGTGCCAGGTGTAGTTTATTGGCTCTCATCTTCAAATTTACTTCTTTTTCCTGCTCTGTAAAAATGGACCTTGGCCTTTTAAATACTTTTCTTTTGCCAACTAGCACATTGTTAAGCTTTGTCAGTGAAGGGCGATGGAGAGACCTTTCAGGACTCTCAAGGGTTTTGCTTCCTGATCTGATGTGCTGGCCCAGCAGGATTCTGCAGTGCACACAGCTTCCCCAGTGCCCAGCTCCTGCAATACACTGCAGTCTGAAGCACTCCACGCCCAGCAGCTTTCCCTGCCAACCCCATTTCCCTCCACAGCTCCCTTGAACAAGTTTTCTTGGTGCCCTTAAGGGTAGATTTCCAGCAAGTTCCACTGATGCAGCACTATAGCAACTTCTTTCTCTTGCTCCTCTGGATCTCAGTCCTGGGAAGAAAAAAGGACTTCCTTGAGTTTTTTCTCAGCCCTAGGGGTAGGGTGCTTCTTGTATTTGCGATTATTCTGTTCTTTAGTGTTCCCTTTTACTGCTTCCTTGCCGGTCCCTCATTATTCCAATCCTCTGTTAAAGTTGTTGAATCCTTAACCTTTGTTCAAATTGCTATTCATTTTTTTCTTTCTTCCTAATTGAACTCAGATTGATACAGAAGGAGATAAAAGAGTATACACAAATATCTGTTTATTTGAACAAAAGAAATGGAAAGGATAAAGCAAAACTGTAGAGACTGATTGCCTGCAGGGGTGGATGCGAAAGGGGTGGAAAGAAGGGAGGGAATGGGATCAGGTTAGTAGGGACAAAGAGGGAATGACACTTTTGACTCTTAGGATCATAGTGATGTGTCACATATTTTTCACATACCCTAGATGTAATCAGACAATTAAAACCAACTAGGATGTAGGGGGAACCCAAAACTGAATTCAAAAACTAAAAAATAAGCCTAGTTGCATTACAAATGTGTAATATAACACCACTGAAGAGGGTGGGGAAGAAAGAACTAAAGTCTTTATTAAAGCCTATCTTTTTTTTTTTTTTTTGAGCACTTCATGAATTTGCATATCATCCATGCATAGGGGCTGTGCTAATCTTAACTATATTGTTCCGATTTTTAAATAATAAAATGCTACCAAAGGCATATCTTGATATAATGTAAGGGTGAAGACAGAACTTTTTATAAGTTAGTGTTTCTCACAGGGGTATAGGTTAGCAATTCTGTAACCATTTTATGTATTTACTAGAATTGAACAAATAATAGGTTGCCGACAGTGAAAGCTGGATTTCTCACTTGTGGAGAAAGAAGTTATAAACAAGGAAATGTTAAAGGCTAAAATGAATCCTGTGGTTTTAGTTTGGGATCAGAAGTATCAGTATAAACTCATAGTTTTAAATGTGTAACAGTAAAATACAGAAATACAGATATTTATACATGTATAGGTTAGTATACATACATATATTTCCTGCCTATCTCAGCTGAGAAGCCTAGAAGCAGTGACTCCAGTGACAATGAGAATGCCTAGAACCCAGATACTGGTCTCTAAACACCTTTTCCCAGTAAAGGAACTACGGCTCTTACAAGTGGTCGATTCCTGGGATGAGACAAGAAAAGTACAGGATGGGCCTTGAGCATCTTGTGGTGTCAGAAAGTAAGGGAATGTTCAAAAAATAAAAAATAATTTTAAAAAGGAGAGGACTTGCTGAAAGAACAGGAGCTCCTAATGACTAAAACTACCAATTTGAACAACAAAATAATGGTAATATTAGATTTTAACCCCAGAATAAAACAATTATCTGTAGGTTCATACTAATAGAAATGATGAAGTAAACAGATGGGAGGAAAGAGGCAGGTCTTCCTCAAAATATAATTCCAATGAATAAATGTAGAAGAAAGGAAAGACAGAATTGCTGTTAGGCATACGCCACAGTAACAAATATTGCAGAGAAAATCTATCAATGAATGCTAAAATTCCTGGGTGAAGTTTGAGGAGAAACAAGATTTGCATAGTGTCAAAGTATCTTCCCCAAAATATTTACCAAGTTCATAGAAAATAAGGTATCATTCTGGTGCAGGAAACTGGCAGACAGAAATAAGCTAAACATCACTAGTAAAATGTCATATTAATATCATGAACCTCTTGATATGATATACTGAGAAGGACATCATTGTAGTGTTCTTACCAAAATGCTAAATTTATTCCTATCATGAGGAACTAGCAGTCAAACACAAATTGAAGGACATTGTATAAAATAACTGATCAGAGCTGTTTGAAATTGTCAAGATCTTGAAACATAAGTAGAGACTGAAGAACTTTAACAAACTCAAGGAGACTAAGGACAAATAACATGCCATGTGGGATCCTGAATAGGAATCTGGAACAGAAAAAAAAAAAACCCGAGTAAATTAAAAATTGTGTGAAATTTTAAAAAGGCCTATAGCTAATAATATTATATAATAATTTATTTCCTGTTCTTGATAATTGTCTCATGATCATATAAGATGTTGACATAAGGGAAGCTGAACAAGAGAAGGGAACTTTTTCCTGCTTTTGCTACTTAAAATTAGTTCAAAATAAAATATACTGAATGTTTTGAAGTCTGAATAACAAATGTTGAACTTTGATTTTTTTTTTCCTTTTACATCTACAACAGGGTTAGAAAAAGGTTCTTGGAACATCGGGAAGAAACCATTACAATAGATCGAGCCTGCAGACAAGAAACATTCGTTTATGAGATGGTAATTAAGAGTCTCATCTTTTTCACCCTTTTCTCTTAAAACAGTAAACTGACATTGGCTGAGGGTTAGTAATGACAGTATGGTAGCTTTATACTGGATGTACTTAGTTGAAAACAAACTAGAGAAACTCCTTTGAGTCTGGGAACTAGTGAGAGAAGAGGACCCTTAGAACTCAAGTGACTACATATTTGACTTTTTCAGATCTCTGCCTTTATTCTTGTTTGGTTTTATCTTGCTGTTGGTATTAGGCTAAATTTATGCCTTTTCACTACCTTATTTCTGGTCTTTTTGTTCTGCTCCTGATTTTGGTTTAACCACATTCTTAATCCTTATCTATTATCTGTTGTGTAAAACTCTGGGAAAATTTAAGGTGATGACTCTTGAGGAATTGGGAGCTAGTAGACACGATGGGTTCAGAATCAGTGTGCTGGCACTTGATCATGCATATGAGCACCTATTGTCTCTCCCACTTATTTTACTTTTATTGTGGTAAAATTTACATAACATAAACTTTACCATTTTGATCATTTTAAAGTGTTCAATTAAGTGGCAGTAAGTACATTCACAATGCTGTATAATCATCACCACTATTTCCAGAACTTTTTCATCATCGCAAACAGAAGTTCTATACCTATTAATCAATAACTCACCAGTTTTTCCTCCTGCAGCCCCTCCTAACCTCTATTCTACCTTCTTTCTCGATGAATTTGCCTATTCTAGATATCTCATGTAAGTGGAATGCTTTTTTTGTCCTTTTCTGTATGGGTTTTTTTTTTTTTGAAACAGAGGCTCACTGTGTCGTCCAGTCTGGAGTGCAGTGGTGCCATCTCGGCTCACTGCAGTCTCCACCTCCTGGCGATTCTCCTGCCTCAGACTTCTAAGCAGCTGGGATTATAGGCACCTGCCACCATGCCTGGCTAATTTTTGTATTTTTAGTAGAGACAGGGTTTCATCATGTTGGCCAGACTGGTCTCGAACCCTTGACCTCAAGCAGTCTGCCCACTTCGGCCTCCCAAAGTGCTGGGATTACAGGCGTGAGCCACGGTACCCAGCCTATGGCATATTTTACATAGCATAATATTTTATAGGTTCATTCATATTGTAGCATGTATTAGAACTTCATTCTTTTTTATGGCTGAATAATATCTATTGTATGGATATACCGCATTTTGTTCTATTTATCTGTTGATGGACATTTGGGTTGTTTCTATCTTTTGGCTATTGTGAATAATGCTGCTATGAAAATTGGTATACAGGTATCTTTTTAAGTCCTTTTTCAGTTCTTTTGTATCTGCACCTGGGAGTGGAATTGATGGATGGTATGGTTAATTCTGAGAAACTTGTTTTTCATAGCAATGATACTATATTACATTCCCATCAGTAATGCATGAAGGTGCCAATTTCTCCATGTATTGTGAACGTGTATTTTCTAGCTTTTTTAAATAATAGCCATCCTAGTGGGTGTGAAGTGGTATTTCAATGTGGTTTTGATTTGTATTTCCCTAATAACTAGTGATACTGAACATCTTCTTATTTGGTTTTTGGCCATCTGTATATTTTCTTTGAAAAAGATCTATTGAAATATTTTGTCCATTTTGAAATTGGGTTGTTTATCCTGTTGAGTCATAAAGAGTTCTTGGCCGGGTGCCGTGGCTCACACTTGAAATCCCAGTACTTTGGGAGGCTGAGGTGGGTGGATCATCTGAGGTCAGGAGTTCCAGACCAGCCTGACCAACATGGTGAAACCCCATCTCTACTAAAAGTACAAAAATTAGCCGGTCGTGGTGGCATGCCCCTGTAATCCCAGCTACTCAGGAGGCTGAGACAGGAGAATTGCTTGAACCTGGGAGGTGGAGGTTGCCGTGAGCCAATATCATGCCACTGCACTCCAGCCTGGGCAACAGAATGAAACTCTGTCTCAAAAAAAAAAAAAATTAGCCGGGCGTGGTGGCAGGTGCCAGCTACTCTGGAGGCTGGCAGAAAAATCGCTAGAACCCAGGAGGCGGAGGTTGCAGCAAGCTGGGATTTGTGCCATTGCACTCCAGCCTGGGCAACAAGAGCGAAACTCTGTCAAAAAAAAAAAAAAAAGAGTTCTTTGTATATTCTGCATACTAGACCCTTACCGTATATGTAATTTAAAAATATTTTATCCCATTCTTTTTTTTTTTTTTTTTTTGAGACGGAGTCTCGCTCTGTCACCCAGGCTGGAGTACAGTGGCCGGATTTCAGCTCACTGCAAGCTCTGCCTCCCGGGTTCACGCCATTCTCCTGCCTCAGCCTCCGGAGTAGCTGGGACTACAGGCGCCCGCCACCTCGCCCGGCTAGTTTTTTGTATTTTTTAGTAGAAGACGGGGTTTCACCGGGTTAGCCAGGATGGTCTCGATCTCCTGACCTTGTGATCTGCCCGTCTCGGCCTCCCAAAGTGCTGGGATTACAGGCTTGAGCCACCGCGCCCGGCCTATTTTATCCCATTCTATATGTTGTCTTTTTACTTTCTTTTCTTTTCTTTTTTTTTTTTTTTTTTTGAGAGTTTCGCTCTTGTTGCCCAGGCTAGAGTACAATGGAGCAACAATGGAGCAATCTCAGCTCACTGCAGCCTCTACCTCCTGGGTTCAGGTGATTCTCCTGTATCTGCCTCCCAAGTAGTTGGGATTGCAGGCGCTCGCCACCACTCCCAGCTAATTCTTGTATTTTTGGTAGCCAGGCTGGTCTCGAACCCCTGACCTCAGGTGATCAATGCGCCTCGGACTCTCAAAGTGCTGGAATTACAGGTGTGAGCAGCCACACCCAACCTTTTTACCTTCTTGATAATGTTATTGGATGTACAAAAGTTTTTAAATTTGATGAAGTCCAGTTTTTCTTTTTCTTTTGTTGTTCTTGTTTTTGATGTCATACTTAAAACATTGCCTAATGCAGCATCACGAAGATTTTCCCATATGTTTTCTTCTAGGAGTTGTTTTTTTTTTTTTTTTTTTTTTTGAGACAGAGTCTGGCTCTGTCGCCCAGGCTGGAGTGCAGTGGCCGGATCTCAGCTCACTGCAAGCTTTGCCTCCCGGGTTTACGCCATTCTCCTGCCTCAGCCTCCCGAGTAGCTGGGACTACAGGTGCCCGCCACCTCGCCCGGCTAGTTTTTTGTATTTTTTTAGTAGGGACGGGGTTTCACCGGGTTAGCCAGGATGGTCTCGATCTCCCGACCTCGTGATCCGCCCATCTCGGCCTCCCAAAGTGCTGGGATTACAGGCTTGAGCCACCGCGCCCGGCCTCTTCTAGGAGTTTTATAGCTTTAGCTCCTAAGTTTGTCTTTGATCCACTTCTGAGTTGATTTTTCTATATGATGTAAGGTAAGGGTTTGACTTCGCTCTTTTGCATATAGATATCTAATTTTTCCAGACTGTCCTTTCCCTAGTGAATGATCTTGGCACTTTTGTCCAAAGTCAGTTGACCATATAAGTTTCATTGTTACATCCTGTTGGTCTAGATGTCTATTCTAACCTAGAACTACTCTGTTTTGATTACTTTGGCTTTGTAGTAAATTTTGAAATCAGGGAGTATGATTTCAAAATCCGGCTTTGTTCATGTTATTCAAGATTGTTTTGACTATTCAGAGTCCCTTGAAATTCCCTATGAATTTTAGTATGGGCGTTTCTATTTTTGGAAAAAATGCCATTGGGATTTTGATAAAGATTGCATTGAACCTGTAGATTACTTTGGGGAGTATTGAGATCTTAATGATATCAAGTTTTCCAATCCATGAATGAAATTTCTTTCCATTTATTTAGATACTTAATTTCTTTCAGCAGTTTTTTTTTTTTTTGTTTGTTTGTTTTGAGACTAAGTTTTGCTCTTGTTGCCAAGGCTGGAGTGCAATGGCACGACTGTGGCTCACCGCAACCTCCGCCTCCCAGGTTCAAGCGATTCTCCTGCCTCAGCCTCCTGAGTAGCTGGGATTACAGGTGCGTGCCACCACGCCTGGCTAATTTTTTGTATTTTCAGTAGAAACAGGGTTTCTCTGTGTTGGTGAGGCTGGTCTCAAACTCCCAACCTCAGGTGATCCACCCGCCTTGGCCTCCCAAAGTGCTGGGATACAGGCGTGAGCCACCGTGCCCGGCCTATCAGCAGTGTTTTATACTTTTTATGTATACAACCCTTTTACTTCCTTGGTTAAATTTATCCTAAATATTTTATTCTTTTGAATGCTATTAATAGTAAGTGAAATTGTTTTCTTAATTCCTTTTTTTTTTTTTGAGACAGAGTCTCGCTTTGTCGCCCAGGCTGAGCGCAGTGGCGCAATCTCGGCTCACTTCAACCTCTGCCTCAGCCTCCCAAGTAGCTGGGACTACAGGCACCCATCACCATGCCTGGCTACTTTTTGTATTTTTAGTAGAGACAGAGTTTCACCACGTTGGCCAGGCTGGTCTTGAACTGCTGACCTCAGGTGATCCACCCACCTTGGCCTCTCAAATTGCTGAGATTACAGACATGAGCCACTGCACCCAGCCCCGTTCCTATTTTATTTAGTGTTTTTATCATGAAAGGGTATTAGATTTTTGTCAAATGCTTTTCTGTGTCAATTGAGGTCATGATCTGTTTTTTTTTTCCTCATCATTCCATTAGTGTGGTGTATTATATTGATTGACTTGCTAATGTTAAATTACCCTTGCATTTTGAGGATAAATAAATTCCACTTGGTTGTGGAATTCAGTAAAAATTGTAATCATGAAAAGTATCTTATAAACAGAAGAAAAGTTGGAAAATTCACAAAAATTAACGCATTTGACAAAATCCTTTTAATATGGCTCTGAATTTGCTTTGCTAGTATTTTGTTGAGATTATTGCTTTCCTGGCCGGGCGCGGTGGCTCAAGCCTGTAATCCCAGCACTTTGGGAGGCCGAGACGGGCGGATCACGAGGTCAGGAGATCGAGACCATCCTGGCTAACACGGTGAAACCCCGTCTCTACTAAAAAAAAAAATACAAAAAAAAAAAACTAGCCGGGCGAGGTGGCGGGCGCCTGTAGTCCCAGCTACTCGGGAGGCTGAGGCAGTAGAAGGGCGTAAACCCGGGAGGCGAAGCTTGCAGTGAGCTGAGATCCGGCCACTGCACTCCAGCCTGGGCGACAGAGCCAGACTCCGTCTCAAAAAAAAAAAAAAAAAAAAAAAAAAAGAGATTATTGCATTCCTATTTATAAAGGGATATTGGCCTGTAGTTTTCCCGTAGTGTCTTTTTCTCACTGTGGTATCAAGATAATGCTGGTCTCATAGAATGAGTTAGGAAGTGGTTACTGCTTTTCAAATTTTCTGAAAGAGTTTGAGAAACTCTGATATTAATTCTTCTTTTAATGTTTGGTAGAATTTACCAGTGAAGTCATCTGGTTCTGATAACTTTTCTTTTTTGGGAGGTGTTTCATTGCTGATTCAACCTCCTTACTTGTTACACGTCTATTTAGATTTTTTGTTTCTTTTTGAATCACTTTTGATAGTTTGTATGTTTCCAGGGTTTTGTCCTTTTCATCGAGATTATCCAGTTTGTTGGCAAACAGTAGTTCATAGTTTTGTCTTCTAATCCTTTTTTTCCTGTAAAATCAGTAGTAATGTCTCCACTTTTACTTCTCATTTTAGTAATTTGAGTCTTCTTTTTTCTTAATCAGTGCAGTAAAAGTTTGTCAAATTCGATGTTTTCAAAGAACCAGTTTTTGTTTTTATTGATTTTTCTATATTTTCTCTTCTGTTTCATTTGTCTCCACTCATCTTTATAATTTCCATTTTTTTTGCTAGCTTTGGGTTTAGTTTATTCTTTTTAATTCCTTATCTAGTTATTGAGATTGTTCTTTTTATATGAAGTTATACAGCTATAACTTTTTAAAATCACTCTTTTTACTGCATCTCCCTAAGTTTCCTGTGCTGTGATTTTTGTCAAGAGTGTGTTGTTAAATTTCCACATACTTGTGAATTTTCCAATTTTCCTCCTGTTACTGATTTCTAATACTTATGATCAGAAAAGATACCTTTATTACTTTAATTTTTTTTAATTTAAGATTTGTTGATTTATCCTGGAGAATGGTTCATATGCAGTAGAGAAGAACCTGTATTCAGCTGTTGTTGGATGGAGAGTTCTTTGTATATCTGTTAGGTCTAATTGTTCCAGTTGTTCAAGTCTCCTGTTTCTTTATTGATCTTCTGTCTAGTTGTTCTACCCGTTATTGAAAGTTGGATATTAAAGTCTCCAACTATTACCATAGAACTGTCTATTTCTTCAATTCTCTTGGCTTTTTGCTTCATATATTTTATTTTACTTAAGTTTTTTGAGACAAGGTCTTGCTCTGTTGCCCAGGCTGGAGTGTAGTGGCGCCATCACTGCACATTGCTACCTCAACTTCCTGTGCTCAAGTTATCCTCCCACCTCCACCTCCCGAGTAGACAGGACTATAAACGTGTGCCACCATGCTGAGCTAAGTGTTTGTATTTTTTGTAGAGATGGCGTTTTGCCATGTTGCCCAGGCTGATCTTGAACTCCTGGACTCAAGCAATCTGCCCACCTTGGTCTCCCATGCTTCTTAAATTTTAGAGTTCTGTTAGCTGTATATAAGTTTGTAATTGTATATGTATATATCTTCTTGCTGGATGGCTTCTTTTCCCAATGTATAATATCTTTCTTTGTCTATTGAAACCTTAAAAAAATTTTGTTTTTAGAGATGGGGTCTTGCTATGTTCCCCAGGCTGGCCTCAAACTCTTAGGCTCAAGTGACTCTCCCACATCAGTTTTCTGATAGCTGGGACTACAAACACATGTGAAAACATCTTATTTTTCTGTAACTTAAGGATTACTTTTTTTTCTTTGAGACTGAGTCTCAGTCTGTCGCCCAGGCTGGAGTGCAGTGGCCTGATCTTGGCTCACTGCAGTTTCTGTTTCCCGGGTTCAAGTGAATCTTGTGCCTCAGCCTCCCGAGTAGCTGGGACTACAAGCACCCACCTAGCTAATCTTTGTATTTTTGTAGAGTCAGGGTTTCACCATGTTGGCCAGGCTAGTCTGGAACTCCTAACCTCAAGTGATCCGCCTGCCTCAGTCTCCCAAAGTGCTGGGATTACAGGTGTGAAACACTGTGCCCAGCTAGGATTACAATTAAGTCTTAGAATTGAAACAACTTCCTTTTATACAGACAGTCCTCACCCTACAGTGGTTTGACTTAGGGTGTTTTTATGATGGGTTTTTTGGGGTCTTAAATGCATTTTCCACTTGTGATGTTTTTTATTTATGGGGTTTATTGGGGCATCATCCCATGATTGTTGAGCATTTATGTCAGTTTTGTTTCCATAGTATTCAAATACTCTGCTTCCACATCTTTGTCTGTCCCTCTTTGGGTTGTCACAGATCATGTCTTTATATATTGGGTGTCCATTAACATAACCTTGTAAGTATTGTTTAATCCATTTATTTTGCAATTATATTGGAAAAACAGAAAAATCATAGAGGAGTGAGTTACAAACCAAAAGTACAGTGATACTGGCTTCTATATTTACCTATGTAGTTCCCTTTAGCAGCATTCTTTATTTCTTCTTATGGCTTCAGTTTACTGCCTAATGTCTTTTCATTTCAGCGTGAAGAATCCTCTTTAACACTTCTTACAGGTCACGTCTACTGGTAGTAATTAATTCCCCTAGCTTTTGTTTATCTGCAAATGGCTTAATTTCTTCTTCATTCCTGAAGGATAGTTTTGCCAAATACAGAATTCTTGGTTAACAGGATTTTTTTTTCTTTCATGGGGTTAAATATGTCATCCAGAGGTAAAAAAAGTTAAAAGCTGAACACAGTAGTGGGTTCTCATAGTCTCAGTTATCACAAGGCTGAGGCAGAAGTAGCACTTGATCCCGAGGTTGAGGCCAAACTAGGCTACACAGGTAGATAGATTTTAAAAATCAGTCAGTTCATCTGTCTATCTGCCCATTCTCTGGTTTCTTACCTCCATGGCTTCTGATGAGAAAACTGCTGTTAATCTTATTGAGGAATCTGATTTTCTTTAAGTATTTGTGGTTTCCTTTAGCTGATTGAACACATTTTTAAAGTTGATACATAATGAATTGTACAAATTTCTGGGGTACTCGTTGAGCACATTTAAGTCAGTTGCTTTAACATCTTTGTTTAGTGGACTTTTATTTATATGTGAATGTAGTTATTGCCTGTAGGAATAATTAATTGACACTTTGACTAGTAATTCCAGTGTCTGGGCCTCCTCAAGGTTGGTTTTGTCAAATTCTTATTTTCCTAAGAATTGTCCATACTTTCCTCTTTCGTGTGTTTTATATGTTTTTGTTGAGAACTAGACATTCTAGGTATATTTTTTCTTGTGCATTGCTGGAGTTGCCTGTGACTTTTCCAAACAATTATTGCAGCATGTGTATTACTTACTGTACGTGGTCACTGATGTTTCTATTTCATTATCTCTGTGGTCAGTCAGTGATCTGACAAAGATTTCCTTAAATACCTGGCTCCAAAAAGAAAAAGACATCTTGTCTCTAAGTCTTCCAATATAGATCCTGCTGGGGGAAGCTGCTGCCACCAAGAGGGTCAAAACCAATGCACGTATCTGGGCCAGGCACTCGGTATCACCACACCAACCAGAACATACAATCCCCAGTTCTTAGAGAACAGGTCCTCACTGTCTGCCCTGGCACCAGCCAGCTTCTCCAGGAATTCAGGCTGCTGTCTCATCAACAGAGGGGTGAAGGAGTGAGGGTGGTAGTTGATTTGCACACAGTGCTTACTAATAAAAAGCAGCAACTTCTCCCTTCATCAAACACTCCCCTGGTTGTTATAAGTGTCCCATTAGGTTCCAGAGTTCCAAAGTAGTTTATTCCAGTCTTTCATTCCAGCTTACTGGTTGCTTCTGTTAGAGGGACTGAGCCCTGGAGCTGCCTACTCTATTTTGTGACATCATTCCCACTTATTTTTAAAACATCCTGCATCTAAACCAATTCAGCCTGGCCCCTGTTTTATATTAATTCAGCACACATAAAAGATCAAAATATATTAAAGATGTCATGGTGTTATAAAAAGCATGGGGTTTAGAGCCAAACAAATCTGTATTTGCATCCTAACTCTCTGGTATGGCCTTGAGTAAATCACTGAACCTGTGAGCTTTATCTGTAAAATAGCTTTCATAGGAATATTTGATAAGGAATGTAAAAATATAATTGGAAATGCCAGTGTTATACCAACATTAGTTGATACTCCTGTTTGCTCATCAACTGCTAAGTATTCAGTACCACACATCTTATTAGATGCATTATGTACACATTCCCAGCAACAGTTTTGTAAAGTAAGTATTTTCTGGTTTTGTTTGTTTATTGAAAGAAGATGAAACTAAAGCTTAGAGATGTCTTAACAATTTTCCTGGAGTATAATTAGGCTTCAAACCCAAGGCTGCTTGACTCAGTCCCTTGCTGAGAGCCATTGTACCACACTGCATCTTACCTGAGTTATAGTATCTGATTTCACTGTCTCTTTTTCTTTCTTCAGGAGTCACATGCCATAGGAAAAAAGCCTGAAAATTCAGCAGACATGATTGAAGAAGGGGAGCTTATCCTATCTGTGAATATCCTGTACCCTGTTATATTTCATAAGGTAAGTAGTAAAACCTTTTGGATTTCATGGATAATAGTAACTTTTGTACAAGTTTTTAATTATTTGAAGAGTCATGTCCCTATGCTTACGTTAAAAAATAAATGCTCTGGGCATGGTGACTCATGCCTGTAATCTCAGCGCTTTGGGAGGCCACGGTGGGAGGATCACTTGAGGCCAGGAGTTTGAGACCCATCTGGCTAACATAGTGAGACCTTGTCTCTACTAAAAATCAGAAAAATTAGCTAGGCATGGTGGTGCATATCTGTAGTCCCAACTACTTGGGAGGCTGAGGTGGGAGGATCACTTGAGCCTAGGAATTCAAGGTTGCAAGCAAGCTGATTGCACCACTGAACTTCAGCCTAGGAGACAGAGTGAGATTTTGTCTAATAATGCAAGTATATGCTGCCTATCTGACATTTTCTTTTTAGAGTTGACAATCTGTAATCTTGTGTCATCTGTTCTAATAAGGAATATTGGAAATAAGGTCAAATTTCAAACAATCTCTCGATCCAATAGGATTACAGCTATAATATTGAAATATATGCCTGATTTCTACACTAGAAGCAACTGAAAGTATATGTAAATCCATAATGATTCTAATTCTACAAATTCTTGAGAGATTTTTGCAGAATAGGTGGCTAACGGAGGAATGGAGTGACCTATGTTCACTAATTTAGAATACTTGGGAAGTTATTGAACTGACCAGAGATGACTCTTTGATGAAAATACAGAACGTTATTAAGTCAAGGGTATCCAAGACTCTTTTAGGAGAAAGAACTCTTTCCTAGCCCAGAGTGTATATATTCTTGATTCCTTAAATAGATGTGTCATAAATTCTGATGAGTTGTCATTGAAATATTAATATATATAAATTACACTTACGAATAAATAGGCTTTTACGAAGCATCTGGGATGTAGTTAGTACTAATTATCTTATTTAATTAAGATCTCAAATTGCTGGCCAGGTGTAATGGGCCACACCTATATCCTCAGCACCTTTGGAAGGCTGAGGTGGGCTGATCACTTGAGCTCAGGAGTTCAAGACCAGCCTGGGCAATGTGGCAAAACCTCATCTCTACAAAAAATACAAAAACTAGCTAGGTGTGGTGGTTTGTGCCTGTAGTCCCAGCTACTAGGGAGGATTGCTTGAGCCCGGGAGGTCAAGGCTGCAGTGAGCCAAGATCATGCCATGGCACTCCAGCCTAGGTGACAAAATGAGACTCTGCTCCCACCACCACCCCCTTCCCCCCAAAAAAAGATCCCAAATGACCAATCATAAAAACAAACCAAACCAAAGTAATGCATCTGGGTTTATAACGTTAGGTTGCAGTATAGATTGCCTGACCTCAATGAAGTAACTTTTAGGAAATTTTAAGACAGTCTTGCTAAATGAAGTTATTTTCCAGTGACTGTTAATGCTCATGTCAGTTTGGTATCATCTTGATTATAAGCTTTAGTTTAAACCAGAAAATTTCCATGGCTAAGTATGTCGGTTGTACCTATGGGATTTTTGTTTGCTTGTTTGTTTGTTTTTGAGACAGGGCCTTGCTCCATTGCCTAGGTTGGAGTGCAGCGGTACAATCGCAGCTCACTGCATCTTTGCTCGAGCAATCCTCCTGCCTCAGCCTCCCAAGTAGCTAGGACTACAAGCATGTATCACAAAGCCCAGCTAACTTTTAAATTTTTTGTAGAGATGGGGTTTTTCTGTGTTGCCCAGGTTGATCTTGAACTTCTAAGCTCAAGCAATCCTCCTGCTTCAGCTTCCCAAAGTGTTGGGATTACAGGCATGAGCCACTGTGCTTGGCCATTCCATACTATTCTGATTTATGGAGGTGACTGAGTGATGATATGGAGAGGCTATAATGCCTTTGAAAGAAGATTTTTATTACATTTCCTTAGAGGAGGGCGCATACCATGTAGGGCCACAGGAAGAAGCACCATTCTCAGTCAGGAGGCTGAAAGGGGAGAGGGGAAGGCATAGACCACAGTTTTTATTGGGATTTCTGTGGGAAAGACAAGGTAGGGAAGAGTAAACAGTTTAGGATTGGCTAATTTGAATAATTCCAGTAGGTTTGGGGGCAGAGGGGCTGTCCCTTGTAGTCTGGTGCTGGGCCCTGGGTGGATTGAGGTTGAGGGAATACCAGGTTGAGGGAAATAGTGGCTTGTTGTGTGATAAAGGAGGTGGTTTCAGAGTGGCTCTGGATCACAGGGGAGCCACTCTGAATTTTGACCATTAGTTTGGCCTTATAATTATTGGATGTGAAAATATAGAACATCAAGTTATGGGGACCATTTAAACTTAAGAAAATTGGCTGGGCACAGTGGCTCACGCCTGTAATCCCAGCACTTTGGGGAGGCCGAGGCAGGCAGATCTTGAGATCAGGAGATCGAGACCATCCTAGTTAACATGGTGAAACCCCGTATCTACTAAAAACACAAAAATTTAGCCGGGCGTGGTGGCAGGCGCCTGTAGTCTCAGCTACTCAGGAGGCTAAGGCAGGAGAATGGCGTGAACCCGGGAGGTGGAGCTTGCAGTGAGCCAAGATTGTGCCACTGCACTCCAGCCTGGGCGACAGAGCAAGACCCCATCTCAAAAAAAAAAAAAAAAAAAAAACTTAAGAAAATCAGCAATTTAGTTTTGTTCTAGTCATGATAGGATTTGTAGTTTTATTGCTTTGTCTCTAAATGAACACTTATTTATTCTTTGACTTTTAGCACAAAGAACACAAACCATACCAAACAATGCTGGTGCTGGGCAGTCAAAAGCTCACAGAACTGAGGGATTCAATTCGCTGTGTCAGTGACCTCCAGATTGGTGGTGAATTCAGCAACACTCCTGACCAAGCCCCTGAGCACATCAGCAAAGTAAGGTGATTTCCTCCCATAAAACAAAAGGAAATAGCAAGCTAAGAAAATAGTGATTACTCTAGCAGGTTCATAAATGTCCCAGTAAATCCTTTTCTTCTCCTGTGGGATTCCATCAAGCTACTACATTATCTCATTTTTTCCCTTTATCACTGGAACTTTTCCAAAGAAGAGGCTAGACTCTGTTTTGATTTCTTCATCTCTCATTTGTTTCTAAACTATCGTATGGAGACTTTTCCTTCTGGGCTAATAGTGACCACCTAATTTTCTAAGCAGTTGGTCACTTTTCCATTTTTATATAACTTGACCTCACTGTAGCATATGACTTTGCTGTTCATTCACTCTTGTTTTAAGCTCTGTCAGCGTTGCGATCTGTCATAACTGCCCCCAGCAAAAGGCTGGAGTCAACCTGAGAGCCTTAATAGTTAGCACCCATTCTTTGCCTTTTGCTGCCCAAGGACCAGTACCAAACAAGGAGAGACCATATAAAGTTGGTCCTTGCTGGTGTTTCCCCAATGTGTTGCTCTCAAAAGGAAAGAGAAGTCCTGCATACCATAAGGATGGAAAGGAGCAGTGTGGTAGACTGGCTACCCACAATGTTTTCAGAAAGGGTCGTTTACCTAATAAAGCAGGAGGGCCTTGTTCCCTTCCACATTTCATCATAGGGCAGGATTGAACTATACCTGCTACAACTCTGGCAGAGGGCCTCAGGTTTACAGGGCCATTTCAGGGGAGGGATAGCATCTCCTAGAGATAAGTAAAAAGATACTTGGAACAACAAGGATGGAGATAGTGTTTGGACAGGAACCAATACAATCTCCTTTTTTCCTGATTCCTGTTCCACCAGCCACATAAATGTTGGTATAACTTAGGTTTAATGTTAGCTTTTTTTTTTTTCTCCCTAGGCTGACATATAAGACCTTTTATAATGATGATTCCCAAATTAACTTTCTGTACTATTCACTTACTGCCTTTACACCTTATTCATCCATAGTGAATTTGTGTATTTTCATCAGTGTACCATACTTTTTCATGTTTCTGAGTATTTGAACATGGTAGGAAGCCCTTTCCTTCCTTCCATCCATTTTGTGAGTTCATTCTCAGATTTCCAAACCCAGCTCAAAACTCACCAATTATATACAAGTTTTCTTGACTCCTTTCTTTTTTACCCTGGCACCTTTTCATTTGTCCATTGTAGTGTATATTTCAGTATGCTGATTCAGTGTAATGCGTGTGTGTCTGCTCCACAGGCTGACTGTATTCCAGTTTTTGGTGACCAGTGTGGAGACTAGCATCATGGCTCACATGTAGATTTCACTTAAGTACCTGTTGAGTTATGCTAAAAATGGTTTTTAGATATTTAGGTTCTTCAGGGTTGCCATCTTAGTGCTTTTGGAGAGAAACATTAGGATAAAAAGAAAAGTAGAATTTCAAAATTTTATGCGAACCAGGAAATACGAGTTTTATTTATTTTATTTTATTTTATTTATTTTATTTATTTTGTAGATGGGGCTCTGTTGCCCAGGCTGGGGTGCAATGATGCAATATCGGCTCACTGCAACCTTCACCTCCCAGTTTCAAGTGATTCTCGTGCTTCAGCCTTCCAAGTAGCTGGGATTACAGGTAGCCCCACTGCACCCAGCTAATTTTTGTATTTTTAGTAGAAACAGGGTTTCGCCATGTTGGCCAGGCTGGTCTCGAACTCCTGACCTCAGGTGATCCACCTGCCTCAGCCTCCTAAAGTGCTGGGATTACAGGCATGAGCCACCATGCCCGGCTAGTAGAGACGGTGTTTTAGCATGTTGGCCAGGATGGTCCGAACTACCGACCTCAGGTGATCCACCCACCTCAGCCTCCTAAAGTGCTGGGATTACAAGGCGTGAGCCACTGCGCCTGGCCAAGATTTATCTTTTCTTTAAAGCAGCAGTGGCAATCTTCTGCAAAGTTAATCTTGTCAAAAAAAACATAAGATGTAACTGTTAAATAATAAGATCAATCTAAGAAGAAAAATCTGAATTTATCCTCTTCATTCCAACCATCTGAACATTGCTCAGAGCAATTTGAGTCAGATCTGGGAATCATTCTTACCTTCAGGAAGCCCTGGAGAATGTTTGTCTGTTTTTGATCAAGTCCAGTCTGGGCAACAACTCACTGTATTGCCCAGGAGAAGGTTTTAATCAGGCTTTGTCAATTTACTTGGTCTGTACATTGGTGCTGATACCTTCTGAAGTTTTCTAAGCAGGGATTAAATAACCCATAATTGTATTTTAAAATATTTACATATCTACTATTATATTGTTTCTGTCTCTTCTATTTTTTTTTCGAGACAGAGTTTTGCTCTTGTTGCCCAGGCTGGAGTGCAATGGCGCGCGGTCTTGGCTCATAGCAACCTCTGCCTCTTGGGTTCAAGCGATTCTCGTGCTTCAGCCCCCTGAGTAACTGGGATTACAGGCGTGCACAACCATGCCCAGCTATTTTTGTATTTTTAGTAGAGACGGAGTTTCTCCATGTTGGTCAGGCTGGTCTCGAACTCCCGACCTCAGGTGATCTGCCCACCTCGGCTTCCCAAAGTGCTGGGATTACAGGCGTGAGCCACTATGCCGGCCAGGGAAATTTATTAGTGGATGACTTTTGATTTAAATGGAAAACATTCTTGTTCTTTTAGAGTTCACCTTGTAATTAATAATTATGCCAAAAGATATTAAGTTGCTTAAATCACCTAAGATGAGGTTTTATGGAAGTGTTTTGTAAAACACAATTATATATATTAAACTTCATTTTGTTTCCAAAATAAGTCAATAGTTATTTATTTAGAACCTTTATTTCAGACCCTGCTTACCTCTTTGAGGGTGTAGAAGTATATTAAGTGGCAGATTTTGTATTGTAGCAGCTGGTCATATGACATTAAGTACATTATACATTTTAATCTCCATAACAACCAATGAGAAAGGTAAAGGCTTTACTCACATTTTACATGGGAGAACAGAGGGTGAGTGAGATTTAGTGACTGGTCCAAGAAGAAACAAGATAGCCAGTCTTACAAGAGTGTCTGATGCGAACACAAGATGATCTGTAAGTGGGGGAATGAAGACAAGAAAGAAAAATGGAAGCTTCAAAGAAGTAAGAGAAAAAAATAAAATATTAGGGTAAAATTATTTTAGTGCCTGAAGCATATATCTCCTATACATAAATTGCTTTTGGTCTTCACCACAATCCTGTAAGACATCGTGGCATATACTATTATTCTCATTTCACAGATGAGAAAACAGGTCTGAGAAGTGATTGCTACATACCAGAATCACAAAGCTAGTAAGTGGTAGGTTAAGGAAAAGAACTCAGGTCTTCTGACCCTCATCCAGGGGTCTAAATAGATGGTGAAGGACCAGTTTAACAGAGTGCTTCTCAGCTCTGGTTGCATGTTTTTTTCTAGAGAGCTTTGGAAAAATACTGATCCCCAAAGATTCTTAATTAATGAGTCCGAGTTTACATTTGGTGTTTGGTTTTTTTGTGATTTGATTTTGCAGTCAGGAGTGAGAGCCACTCCTTTGACGGAAGCTGTGGTAGAATGAGTTAAGAAACCTTGAAGGTTCCCACCAGTTGTGGTACAACTATGGTACCTGGGGCAAGATTGCTTGAGTAAAAATAGAAATTCAGATTCTGTCTGCCTAAGAGTTACTGAAAATATAAAGAGAGAATTTTTGTAAAAACATTGCAAATACAAAAAATGCCAGAAAAACATAACTTGATGATCATTGTTATCACTGGGGAAACATTAAAGATAGGACTTTGTTTAATTTTTAGTTCTAGTATCCAACACTACTTACTGCTGTATATTCATATGATAAAATAATGATGTTTATTTGATTTCTAATTGGGTTTCTATCATGAATCTCGGGAGAATATACACATTTGAATCAAACGTAGTGATTAAAACAGCAGTAGGGTAAAATTGAAAGTAGCAGCAGTTTTTGTAACCTGTATTAGTGTGATTTTATGATACATAAATTTTGAATTAATACTTAGAGCAATTTCATAATTGTTAATAGTTGACTTTCTCTCAATACCATCTGTTTTCTTGTAGGACCTATACAAATCAGCCTTCTTTTATTTTGAAGGAACATTTTATAATGATAAAAGATACCCGGAATGCAGAGATTTGAGCAGGTATAGTTTCCAAAAATCTTCTCAAAGTCCTTCCTATTTCTAGTTATCAAAATAGTGTTATCTCCACAAATCCTATTATTGGCCTATTAAGGACCTTTGCCAAGGAATTATTGATAAATCTTGTCTTGAGCATTACATACATCCAAAAAAAAAATTAGCCAGGTACAGTAGTCCCAGCCACTCCAGAGGCTGCGGCAGGAGAATCTTTTCAGACCAAGAGTTCAAGGCTGTATAGCATGCTATAATCTCACCTGTGAATACCCACTGCTCTCCAGCCTGGGTAATATAGCAAGACTCTGTCTCTAAAAAATATAATAATAAATTAAATCCCATTAACATGCATTATTAGTCTCTGGCCTTTACATATAAGTATAGTGGTAAATTAACCTGTCACTGTTTTTTCTGCCTATCTAGTATATACTATTGTTTGTGCTAGATGATGGTGATATATATGTTGCTTAAGTACATAATATAGAAAAATCTATAAGCTCATTTTAATGAGACCATACTTTCATTATCAATGTCTTAGCAATTAGAGTATATAAGTATACATATTATTGTTGCCTTTTAAGAAAAAAAAAAAAGTGTCGTTCTGTCATCATACAGTGGCACGATCTCAGCTCTCCCTGCAACCTGTGCCTCCTGGGTCAAGCCATTCTCGTGCCTTAGCCTACCAAGTAGCAGGGACTACAGGTGTGTGTCATCATGCCTGGCTAATTTTTGTATTTTTAGTAGAGACAGGATTTTGACATGTTGGCCAGACTGGTCTTGAACTCCTGGCCTCAAGCCGCCTGCATCAGCCTCCCAAAGTGCTACATTACAGGTGTGAGCCACAATGCCCAGCCTATTGTAGCCATTTTTTTTTTTTTTTTTTTGAGACGGAGTCTCACGCTGTTGCCCAGGCTGGAGTGCAGTGGCGCGATCTTGGCTCACTGCAAGCTCCGCCTCCTGGGTTCACGCCATTCTCCTGCCTCAGCCTCCTGAGTAGCTAGGACTACAGGCGCCCGCCACCGCGCCCGGCTAATTTTTTGTATTTTTAGTAGAGACGGGGTTTCACTGTGGTCTCGATCTCCTGACCTTGTGATCCGCCCGCCTCGGCCTCCCAAAGTGCTGGGATTACAGGCTTGAGCCACCGCGCCCGGCCTTATTATAGCCATTTTTAATCTGTATTCTAACCCAACAGTTCAAACCTATTGGTTTCAGCATTTTTGGGTTTTTTTTTTTTTTTTTTTTTTGTTTGAGACAGTTTTGCTCTTGTTGCCCAGGCTGGAGTGCAATGGTGTGATTTCGGCTCAATGCAACCTCCGCCTCCCGGGTTAAAGCGATTCTCCTGCCTCAGCCTCCCAAGTAGCTGGGATTACAGGCATGTACCACCACACCCAACTAATTTTGTATTTTTAGCAGAGACGGGGTTTTTCCCCATGTTGGTCAGGCTGGAATCGAACTCCCGACCTCAAGTGATGCGCCCACCTCGGCCTCCCCAAGTGCTGGGATTACAGGTGTGAGCCACCGTGCCCAGCCTTGCATTTCTTTATACTGTAAATAATTGAAGACTTCGATGAGCTTCTGCTTATGTGGGTTATAACTATCAATATTTATGATATTAAACATTGAAACTAAGAAATATTTGAAATATTAAATCTCATTACATACTAACATTTTGTGCAAAATATTTTTCAAAACTCAATGAGTGACGTTGTTACACATTCTGCATTTAAGCTAAAGTGATACACATCATGTAACCTGCAGAAAACTGATCCCTTATGAAAATTCAGCATTCCTAATCTCAACATGTATCAAACATTTTGGTCTTCATCTCAAGATGGCAACTGTCCAGTTAGTTGGGTGAGCTAGGTTAATGTGAATTACTGCAGTCACAAACTGTTTTCTGTAGTTTTTAAGTTTTTGTGGAAAAATGATATATCCTTCCCTTTTCCCCCCTTAGAACTATCATTGAGTGGTCAGAGTCCCATGATAGAGGATATGGAAAGTTTCAGACTGCTAGAATGGAAGATTTCACCTTCAATGACTTGTGTATTAAACTGGGTTTTCCTTACTTATACTGTCATCAGGGAGACTGTGAACATGTCATTGTCATTACTGACATAAGGTAGGTTACTTTTTTTTTTTTCCTTTATTTCAGAGTACAAAAGCAGAGATAGTTTTTTTTAAAAATCAGAGGAGTGGCCGGGCGCGGTGGCTCAAGCCTGTAATCCCAGCACTTTGGGAGACCGAGACGGGCGGATCAAGAGGTCAGGAGATCGAGACCATCCTGGCTAACACGGTGAAACCCCGTCTCTACTAAAAGATACAAAAACTAGCCGGGCGAGGTGGTGGGCGTCTGTGGTCCCAGCTACTCGGGAGGCTGAGGCAGGAGAATGGTGGGAACCCGGGAGGCGGAGCTTGCAGTGAGCTGAGATCTGGCCACTGCACTCCAGCCTGGGCGACAGAGCGAGACTCCGTCTCAAAGAAAAAAAAAAAAAAAAAAATCAGAGGAGTAAAAGTAATGATCATTGCAACTTGACTTGGAAGCAGCAAAAATGCTGTTTTCTTTCCATGCAAAGACCAACTCTTTCCATCCATTTGCATCCTCTGTTGTTCATTATTTTGGAAAATCTATAAGAAATACTTTACTGGCCGGGCGCGGTGGCTCACGCCTGTAATCCCAGCACTTTGGGAGGCCGAGGCGGGCGGATCACAAGGTCAGGAGATCGAGACCACGGTGAAACCCCGTCTCTACTAAAATACAAAAAATTAGCCGGGCGCGGTTGTGGGCGCCTGTAGTCCCAGCTACTCGGGAGGCTGAGGCAGGAGAATGGCGTGAACCCGGGAGGCGGAGCTTGCAGTGAGCCAAGATCGCGCCACTGCACTCCAGCCTGGGTGACAGAGCGAGACTCCGTCTCAAAAAAAAAAAAAAAAAAAAAAAAGAAATACTTTACTATTAGAAGGTTAAAAATCTGTTAATACTTTAAAAAGTATCTCCATTTTGTATTAAACAGCTGTTATTCAGGTAGTAGTTATCCATTTACAGATAACATTGCAACTTTGTTTTTAGGTTTCTCTTTTTGCCAAAATTTGAAGGAGATAAAAGGGAATTGGAGGAAGAGTAATTCTAATATTTGACAAATGTGAAGTCTTAATGCTTTGACAAATATTTAAATTGGGAGGAGCTAAGATAGTCTAAAATGAGATTTGGGGATGAGTTATAAATTTAAACAGCTAATAGCTGAATAAGGCTATTCATTTCCTCTTTATTTAGGAAATCTGTTTAAGAAGGAATACTATGTACGAATAAACCCTGCTCCAGTGCTGGTTTGATTCCTTAGGAGAGACCATTTAAAACTTTTTTGTGGAACAATAACGTACCTATGTTTGACCAGTAATTAGAAACCAGTAATTACTAGTATTAATTAGTAATTTATTATACCAGTAATAGAAACAGATGCCTGCCAGGTGCAGTGGCTCACGCCTATAATCCCAACACTTTGGGAGACTGAAGTGGGCAGATTGAGCCCAGGAGTTCGAGACCAGCCTGAACAACACAGTGAAACCCTCTCTACAAAAAATACAAAAATTAGCTGAGCATGGTGGTGCGTGCCTGGAATCCCAGCTACTCAGGCTAAAACATGAGGATTGCTTGAGACCAGGAGGTCAAGGCTGCAGTGAGCTATGATCATGTCACTGCATTCCAGTCTGGGTGACAGAGTGCGACCTTGTCTCAAAAATAAAAAATAGGAAAGAAAGAAACTGATGCTTTCAGAAAGTCCCTGCTTCTATTTTTGGTCTTACTGACTCATCTCCAAAATTTTGTATCTCATGCACTCCATCTCCGGAAACTACCAGAAGATGTAAAAGTGCTTCACAGAAAGTGTACACCATGAACAAGAAAGACATGGAATGCAACACAGAATAGGCAGAATAGGTTAAATAGACATAAAAGGGATTCTCAGAATGATGGAAAAGTGAAACCCCAGTGTGAGAGCTTTGTACCAGATCTGGAGATTTGATCCAGGGTCTGGAGCCAGGAGCATACAGAACTCAGGAAGGATGTCTGCGGGGGAAAATAAACTGGTTGACTCCCGGTTGTTCACTGTTCTGTCAGAAAATAGGTGACTGAATTCGTGATAGGTACATTGAAAATTAAGCAAATGGGCCAGGTGTGGTGGCTCATTCCTGTAATCCCAGCACTTTGGGAGGCCAAGGCAGGTGGATCACGAGGTCAGGAGATTGAGGCTATCCTGGCTAACAACGGTTAAACCCTGTCTCTACTAAAAAATAGAAAAAAAAAATTAGCCAGGCATGGTGGCGGGCACCTGTAGTCCCAGCTACTCTGGAGGATGAGGCAGGAGAATGCGTGAACCCGGGAGGCGGAGCTTGCAGTGAGCTGAGATTGCGCCACTGCACTCCAGCCTGGGCAACAGCAAGACTCCGTCTCAAAAAAAAAAGAAAATTAAGCAAATGTAAATGGGAGGGAATTAATAGATTAATAGCTAGAAAACAAAATGTCGTCCCATAAATGTCAACTGTGTGGCTTAGGTAGAAATAGTACTAATTCGTCATGAATTAAATATCTGTTTAACCAAAATTATGGTAGTTCTGTGGGGAGAAGTTGAGGAGCTAAATTCTAAACAAACAATTAAGAATGGAAAACAGTTGTCCCTAGGGAAGAAGAATGGGGAGGCAAGAGCCAGAAGCATATATAAACCTTGGATTTATATGGCTTTTAAATTATAGACAGTACATTTATGTCTTGGATGTTATTAAAATTTTATATCAGCAGCCTAGGCACTGTGGCTCATGCCTGTAATCCCAGCACTTTAGGAGGCCTAGGTGGCCAGATTACTTGCTGTCAGGAGTTCGAGACCAGCCTGGCCAACATGGTGAAATCCTGTCTCTAAAACTACAAAAATTAGCTGGGTGTGGTGATGGACGTTTGTAGTCCCAGCTACTTGGGAGAGTGAGGCACGAGAATCACTTGAATCTGGGAAGCGAAGGTTGCAGTGAGCCACGATTGCACTCCAGCCTGGGCGACAGAGCAAGACTGTATCAAAAGAAAAAAAAAATTATATAGCTGTTCTGCCTGCTCTTCCTTTCAATGTGGGAAAATATGCTAGCCTTGTAATAACATAAGATGGAAGGCAACCCCCAGTTCTCTCTGATGGCTTTATTTTCCATACATTTCTTTTCTTTTCTTTTTTTTGAGACAGAGTTTCGCTCTGTTGCCCAGGCTGGAATGCAGTGGCATGATCTCAGTTCACTGCAACCTCCATCTCCTGGGTTCAAGCAATTCTCGTGCATCAGCCTCCCAAGTAGCTGGGATTACAGGTGCGTGCCACCTTGTCCGACAAATTTTTGTATTATTTATTTATTTTTTTTGAGACCGAGTTTTGCTCTTGTTGCCCAGGCTGGAGTGCAGTGGCACGATCTCGGCTTACCGCAACCTTTGCCTACAGGGTTCAGGCGATTCTTCTGCCTCAGCCTCCTGAGTAGCTGGGATTACAGGCATGTGCCACCGTGCCCAGCTAATTTTGTATTTTTAGTAGAGATGGGGTTTCTACTCTATCTGTTGGTCAGGCTGGTCTTGAACTCCCGACCTCAGGTGATCTGCCCGCCTCAGCCTCCCAAAGTGCTGGGATTACAGGTGTGAGCCACCGCGCCTGGCCTAATTTTTGTATTTTAGTAGAGAAGGGGTTTCACCATGTTGGCCAGGCTGGTGTCGAACTCCTGACCTCAGGTGATCTGCCCACGTCGGCCTCCCAAAGTGCTGGGATTACAGGCATGAGCCACCGCACCTGGCCTTTTCCGTACATTTCTTACAGTGTAGGCCTGTTTCTATAAACAATGTGATTCCAAGGCTGAAGGATAAAAACATGACCCTTAAACTCATGGTAATTTCTTGATACAATGATCAACAAAAGAAACATGATCTGTTTGAATGTCAAAGAAAAAGCAATTTACACTTTTTTTTTTCTTGAGAAGGGGGTGTCACTCTATTGCTCAGGCTGGAGTGCAGTGGCAAAATCACGTCTCAATGCAGCCTCGGCCTCCTGGGCTCAAGCAGTCCTCTTCCCTCAGTCTTTCCCATGGCTGAGATTATAGGCATATGCCACCATGCGTGGCCAATTTTTTTATGTTTTGTAGAGACAGGGTCTCACTCTGTTTCCCAGGCTGGTCTTTAACTCCTGAGCTCAAGCGATCCTCCTGCCTTGGCCTCCCAAAGTGCTGGGATTGCAGATGTGAGCCACCACATCTGCCCTTTTGTTTTTTTTAAAAAGTTTACATTTATTAAGAGTATGCAATGTAGGGCTTTTTAAAAGGCAATTTAGAGAAGTCATTTTTATCTTACAGGTAGATTTAATCATTCAGTGCCATTCCATAATACCAGCTATCAAAGGTTATTTTCTGATGGTGAAAGTTTAATTTAAAAAAAGTGGTATTTTAGAATTGTTAGAGACCTTTAGAACAATTTTGTGTAGTCCTTTCATCTTTCAGAATAATCTGAAGTCTGTCATGATTTACAGGATTTACCCAAAGCCGTGGAGCTGATTAGTGGCAGAGTAGAGACTGACTTCAATTTTTTTTTTAATAAAAGTTATGAAACTTCTTAAAGGTTTCATAATTTTGACACTTAAAACTAAGATTCTACTAATTCATATTATGCCATGAGTCAGAATTAGATTTTAATAAAGGAGACATTAAAAAAACAAGAGCCACATTCTAACAACCAGTTAATCTAGGTAAAATATTACTGAGTAGCTTTGCCCAAATTGTTTCATTATACGGTACTAAATGTTAGTCAGGTGTGGTGGCTCACACCTGTAATCCCAGCACCTTGGGAGGCTGAGGTGGGAGGATTGCTTGAGGCCAGGAGTTTGAGACCAGCCTGGACAACATAGTGAGACCGTGTCTCTACAAAAATTTTAAAATTATCTAGGTGTGGTGGTGCATGCCTGTAGTCCCAACTACTGGAGAGGCTGAGGTGGGAGGACTGCTTGAGCACAGGAGTTTGAGGAGGCTACAGTGAGCCAAGATTATGCCACCGTACTCCAGCCTGGGTAACAGAGTAAGACCCCATTTCAAATAAATAAAAATAAAAGGTACTAGTGTTAAGCAAAGCAAGGATTCTCTGGTAGAATACATTCAAGAAATGCTCTATATGATGACCCCCTCTTAGCGGGGGTCACAGTGTACATTACCGTAAACGGGATTTGAGAAGTCTAAGGAAGAAAACCTTGTTAATCCAAATGCTCTTGGAGAAAGTATTTTGTGGAACACAATTTGGTCAACATGGTATAACAAGTAATTTAGCAACATCTTGTAAGCAAAAATTGAAAGTATTTTCCTAATACTCAGGTTACAGATTTATTTAATAGCTCATAAAAATTTGTCACTTAATATTTATCACCTTAATATCTTTATTTCCCATGAACAAAGGCTTGTGCATCATGATGACTGCTTGGATAGGACACTGTATCCCCTCCTTATCAAGAAGCATTGGCTATGGACCAGAAAATGTTTTGTTTGTAAATGTATACAGCTAGGTGAGTGATAATGTATTTTTTTTCTCTGAGAAATGGTAGTTTTGACTTTTGGTATTTGTTTTCCACTTTGGATCTAAGAATATTTGGTACTTTAGGTTATAAATATGAAGTATCATGTAGTAGGGAAGTGCCACAAAACCAGTTTAGTGAGTTAAAACTGACATTCTTAAATAGTAAGGAAATATTATATGTACACAAGTCCAGGGGTAGGTCAAATTTCAGGCTTATAAAATGTATACAGCTAGGTGAATAAAAATAAAAGTTAATAGTGTTAAGAAAGCAAGGATTCTTTGATAGAATACATTCAAGAAAAGCTCTGTACAGTAACTCCCTGTTAGAGGGTCACAGTGTACATTACCATAAAGGGATTTGGGAAGTCTAAGGAAAGAAAACCTTGTTTAATCCAAAATGCTTGGGGAACCATGTTCTTTCTGCCTCTTGTCCACACAGTTTACATAATCAGCTTCATCAATAAAACTTCATCAATTAAAAAAATACCACAGCACATCACATGAAGTTAAAATATAGTTTTATAAAATTTTTATTTCATGTGATTCTACATGTTTAGATTATAAAGCATTTCTTACTGTGGGTCACTGAAAAAAAAAGTTTGTTGCTTTTGGAGGTTGAGGTGGGAGGATCACTTGAGGCCTGGAGACCAGCCTGGACAAACCAGCAATAACTATAAAAAAAAACCTGAAAGCCACTCAGAGGACAGGAAATTTAGTATAGGTTGAGCATTTCAGATTTCAAGAATCAGAAATCCAAAACTTGATAGTTTTTGAGTGGCAACATCTGATGCTGAAATGATCAGTGGAGCATTTTGGATTTCACATTCTCAGTGGAATGCTCAGCCGGCAAATATATGCATAATATATTTAAAAATCTGAAAAAAATCTGCAATTTGAAATACTTCTTTCTGGTTCCAAGCATTTCAGATAAAAGATACTCTTTTTTTTTTTGAGATGGAGTATTGTTCTGTCCCTTGGGCTAGAGTGCAGTGGCACAATCTCGGCTTACTGCAACTTCTGCCTCCCGGGTTCAAGCGATTCTCCTGCCTCAGCCTCCTGAGTAGCTGGGATTACAGGCGCACACGACCACACCCAACTAATTTTTTTTTGTATTTTTAGTAGAGATGGGGTTTCGCCATGTTGGCTAGGTTGGTCTCAAACTCCTGACCTTGTGATCCACCCGCCTTGGCCTCCCAAAGTGCTGGGATCACAGGCGTGAGCCGCCACACCCAGCCCAGATAAAGGATACTCAGCTTGTATCTTCAGTTTGTTTTCGCCACCCACCAATATTCTTTTCTAAAAGATCAACAGGAAAACATGATAAATCAGATAAAAGGGAAAATAATGTTAAAAGCAAACATTCCATGAGATGCATAATTCAAACATACCATACAATAGCATCTTCATGCCATTCAACATTTTGGTTGAATAATGTTGCCCATATTGCCATTTGTATATACTTTATAACATAATCTTGAGTTATAGGTAAATAGAGTTACATAAGTTTTCAAATTAACCAGTACTCATTTATCAGTTAAGAAGGTATATTAAGCAAAAGTGTATCAGATCTGTAGCATCTAATTTTGTTACAGTTTTTCAAGATGGTCTGTTAGAAGAAAATGACTATATTCATACTTGGAGGATAGGTATGTCATGGCAAATGTGTGATACTTTCAAGTAGATTTATATTCTTCCTTTAAGGGTAACTATTACAGAGAAACAGCATTCTGCAGTGTTTCTTAATATTAGATGACCTTTTGGCTTTGTAGAGAGTGTTGGTGGTATTTGCATCTATGTATACAAAATTAAAGATTATGCATTAATAACAGACTGATAAGGAATAGTGAGAATGTTATATTACATATTGCTACAGGTCATAACTTAAAGCATGTTAAGGTATGGAAAATTTGATTGTAATGATGTACTTCTTTTTTTAAAAACTACAGATGGGTGACGAACAATGACAGTTTTGCACCAGAGGACCCATGTTTCTTTTGTGATGTTTGCTTCCGAATGCTCCACTATGATTCAGAAGGCAACAAACTGGGGGAATTCCTTGCTTATCCTTATGTTGATCCTGGAACCTTTAATTAAGAATAGCTACACTCACAAAAGTACCCCCTCATGAAATAACTGTTCTCTTGGATGGTTACCTTTTTTCTAAGAAACGCCACTGAGGAGCAGGATCCACTTTGAACAGTCTGCTAAAGCTACCAAAAAAAATCCAAATCACAGATTTTCTTATAATGATTGTACATGTTTATAACATAGTTAAATTTCACATTTATTCCAAAGAGTATTTAATTTAGTGCTTTTTACCCATTGAGTTGTAGTACTTTATATATTCTGACTTTAAATCCTTTGTCAGACACACATATTCTTTCTCCCAATCCATGCCTTCCCTATTCATTCTCTGTCCATAGTGTTTTTTTTGCTAAAGATAGAATTAATGATACATCAAGTAGTGGAAGTGTTTTGAAAATGCTTTGAAGAATGTGAGAGCTACACCTTCTACCATGAGGCTTCCAAGGTAAAGATCCTTCAATATCTGTAACGGAATTAGGGAGAATGAATTATTTACAAATAAGACAAAATTAATAGCTTTGGGATAATTTATTTTTGTTTTTGAGACAAAGTCTCGCTTTTGTTGCCCAGGCTGGAGTACAACGGCGCAATCGCGGCTCACTGCAACCTCCACCTCCCAGGTTCAGGCGATTCTCCTGCCACAGCCTCCCAAGTAGCTGGGATTACAGGCACCTGGCACCATGCCTGGCTAATTTTTGTATTTTTTTTTTTTTTGAGACGGAGTCTCGCTCTGTCACCCAGGCTGGAGTGCAGTGGCCGGATCTCAGCTCACCGCAAGCTCCGCCTCCCGGGTTTACGCCATTCTCCTGCCTCAGCCTCCCGAGTAGCTGGGACTACAGGCGCCTGCCACCTCGCCCGGCTAAGTTTTTTGTATTTTTAGTAGAGACGGGGTTTCACTGTGTTAGCCAGGATGGTCTCGATCTCCTGACCTCGTGATCCGCCCGTCTCGGCCTCCCAAAGTGCTGGGATTACAGGCTTGAGCCACCGCGCCCGGCCATAATTTTTGTATTTTTAGTAGAGACGTGGTTTCACCATGTTGGCCAGGCTGGTCTCAAACTCCTAACCTCAGGCGATCCGCCCGCCTCAGCCTCCCAAAGTGCTGGGATTACAGGCATGAGCCACCGCGCCCGGCTGCTTTGGGGGTAATTTAATGTTCGTGTGCTGTTGAGTAATGTTAAGTTTTGTTTTGAAGGAAACTAGGCATACAAGACATGTTAATAAGACTTTGTGAATAATGGATTCAAAAAGATACTGAGTGTATACTCACAACTCCAGAAATAACATTAGCTTGAAGCTTTATTTCTTGACAAAAGCTTTATGAATGCTATGAGTTTAAAATATGTCAATTTAATACTATGATTTAAAAAACAATAGATTTCGTATGACTGTGGAGACATGGAAAAATCAAGATCCTATTGATATGCTAGCTCTGGCTCACTTATTCTTGGGTAATGATACTATTGGATTATATATACCAGTATTCTATAAGCAAAAAGAAAAAAATAGTTTTTCTGGCCCAGGTCTTCCATATTTCTGGTCCCCTTACTATAGTAATCCTAGTTACTCTCATCTTATTCTGAGAAAAAAAAAAAAACTTTTTAAACTTATTTTTTGATACAGGTCTTACTCTGTCACCCAGACTGTAGTACCAGTGGGTGTGATCTTGGCTCACTGGAGCCCTGACCTTCCCAGGCTCAGGTGATCCTCCTACCTCAGCCTCCCAAGTAGCTGAGACCACAGGCACAGGCCACAGGCCACCATGGCAGGCTAATTTTTTTATTTCTTGTAGAGGCAGCGTTTCACTATGTTGCCCAGGATAGTCTCAAACTCCTGGACCTCAAGTGATCCACCCACTTGGCCTCCCAGAGTGCTGGGATTTACAGGCATCAGTCACCAGCACCCAGCAAAAGAAACTATTTATTTTCAGGTTTAGACCATCCAGATTAGATTTATAGCATATCTACATTCAAATATTTTCTGGAAACCTTTATGGGTAGAAATTTAATACTGTTTAAAACGTTTAGGAATACTATAGATTTCAAATGCAATCATTTAAAATAAATAAATTCCACTTTTTCTCTCCTAGGTTGTATTAAAATTTGACTGAAAAATGGATGGCTAAGAACAGACATTTATATAAAATGGAAAACTGATGAAACCTATAAGCCTATGTGTTTAAAAGATTGACAGTGAAGTATGTTTTATGGACTTAAATGCCACAAACAGTTAAGTCCGTTGGTTTGGAGAGGACAAGCACGTGCTTCTGGTATGTCTAGTGTTCTCATTCACTGATTCAGTCAGTATGCAGATAATCAGTATAGGAGAATCAGAGGCTGGCTTATGTTATACCTAAATTTTTACTTTCTTGTATACAACAATGCTAAAATTGAGCAGATTGATACCAGCCAGCAAACCATAGATTTAAGATAAATGATTTACCCAACCCTAAAATTCCAGGGTAAAAATTTTGATTCCTTTATTGTAATACTGCATTCCTTATAGGTCTTACATGCATATGCAAGGATATTTTATTCATTTTCATTTCATACTCTCAAACTTCAAAAAGTTAAGTATTGTCATAATGCATTATTCCGTGTGTGGTGTCAATTCATTTTAGTGGACAAAGAAGAAACATGCCAGTTAAAACATTTCTGCTACTGGCATTCTATTATTTGAGAATGTTTTTCTGCTAGTTCTTAAGGTTAACCTTTTCATCAAGACTCAGGTACCTATTATTGTTTCCTGGTGAAACTGAGGAGAAAAGTTAACCAGGTTACTCCCAGTTTGCCCATGTGTTATGTATCAGTTTATACAGGTATCCAACCAGTTCAAGTCAAAAGAAATTTCTAACTTTGTATATTTCTGGAGCTATAAAACCCCTGATTTAAGACAGCTTTTCTCTTTTTTCGAGACAGCTTTTCTTTATGCTTATTTCAATCAAAACAACACACCTGTCAATTACATGTAACATATTATCTATGAAGATAGGCAAATGTGAAAATGTTGTCATGAACATGTCAATCAACCGTGCTTGGTAGTTGAATTTGACTTTTATATAATAGTGGATGCACATGCACAAAAGTCACCAGAGAAGCAATAGCTATTTCTTTAAACGTTCTTCAGGCCTCAGTACCGTTTAAGAGATAATTAGACATTTTAGTTTTTACTAGGAGAAAGGTCATCTCTAACAATTGTGTTGCAGAATTACACAGGCCCAAACACACACTTTCTGGCCTATTAAACCAGCTTCTTTGTTTCTAAAGAGTTTAATGATACGGGTTTGCTATTTCCCATTAGAGGCATCCTTTCTCTGGCCAATCGGACAAAATAAAGTTTAGCGGAAGCCCTCACAGCACCCTATGAAAATCTTTGTGCTTATACAGGGATTAGATGCAGACCTCATCTTGACCTGACATCTTGTAACCAGGTAAGTGTATGTGAGTAGGAACATAGACAGGCAGTTTACTGGTATCAGCAAATCTATCATATTATTTGAAATCACCGGATATAATATTAAAGTGGCATGGTTCTCTCCAGTTGTTCACATACCATCCAGATGATGTATCTGCGATTTCTCCAAGCAGCCAAGAAACCTTCAATAGTTCTGCTCAGTCATGTATGACTTTTTTTTTTTTTTTTTTTGAGATGGAGTCTCGCTCTGTCTCCCAGGCTGGAGTGCAGTGGGGCAATTCTCAGCTCACTGCAACTTCTGCCTCCCAGGTTCAAGCAATTCTCCTACCTCAGCCTCCCTAGTAGCTTGGATTACAGGCACGTGCCACTGCGCCCGCCTGATGTATGACTCTTTTACCCAGTAATCAAAAACACATACGTACACACACACAGCCCCAAAGAGGTGTAAAACATACATATTACACATACTTTTGCGGGGCAGGGTGGGGGCTATCTCAGATTACCTCTTGGTGCCTTGTCAAGCTGTGGAGTTTTGACCACACACAACCAATTGAGCCAATGAACAATTTCAATGATCCTGAAGTTCTTAAGTCTTACGAATAATTATCAAGAGTTCTGAGGATGATAGTTATCTGTAAATCAGCCTATGACAAAGCAAATTCTTGAGTTACAATTAAAAGGCGTTATGCTTGAGGCGAACATCAACTAGTTAGAGCAAGGTCAGCTTGTACAAGCTGACATAAATTATGAGAATGATGCTGTATCTCTAGAAGTTGAATTATTCTGTGGCTTCTTTGTAAAACTACAGATCTAGTGGGTTTATGGGAAGAAGGGAGGGTGACAAAAGATAAATATTTCCTTTATTTTTATCATCTTGAGCTGTTTAGTTAACCCTGTTTCCCAAAAACAACACAACCTCTGTGACCGTTTAACTAAGAAATTATTTCCTTGGCAGCAAACCCAGATTTCATCCTATTACTCTTGTAAATAGGAAGAAAGTAATTTACTAGTAGAGTTTGGTTAGAAAAATTCTTTTAAATCAAAACAAGTTTACACGTTGAACTTATGGCTTAACTAGAATAATCTAAGTTAAAACTGTTATAAGGATCAAACAGATAATGACTGGTATATATGCAGGTTCTCTCAAAACAGTGATTCTAGTTCCACTGTAAGACCTCATAAAAGCAAAACTTCAATTCTGTAGATGAAAACAGTTATCCCAGAGAGTCAACCATACAATGTCATACACAGACACTGGTCTTAAGCCATTTTTTCCATATTCATATAGTTTCAAAACATGAGAAGTATCCTACTTACTGAAAAATGCCAAATGACCTAATATTTCAAAATATGCTTAGAAATGCTATCATTTAGTTAACATACCCTTAAATTCTGTAACATTGATTTCACCCTGTATTTAGTCCATACACGTCAATGTACAGACTATCAAGTACTATGTTGGAAGAACTAGTGTTTGTATTTTTTGGAATCTAGAAAATAAAATAATATAGCCATAATTTCAAATAGGTGAGTTTCCTTATATAGCATTTATTTATATTTATTGTCTAGCATCATGGATTTTTTCTTCCAATTAAGTACTACTTAGTGATTTCCTGAAGACATCTTTAACATTTCTCAAAATAAACTTAGTTTTCAGTTTTAATTACTAGTGCCTGCCTATAAAAGGACCTTAAATGATTTAACCCTAAAGCCAGATTCATTCCTATATATAGCCAGTCAGTTATCTTGCAGAGAAGTCCTAAGACTTCACTGAATGTCCAGCCACAAAACTAAATTACCTTCAAAAATTAACATCATGTTTTATAGTTTGTAGATTTCTGTCAGTTCAATGTCAGTTACTTAACTAGTTGTCAATTACCAAAACAAACCATACAAGACTTTTGAATAAAAAGGGAGTGAGTACTTGTATAGAAGTAACATTTTATCTACCATAAAAATGCTCAACTTCTACAAAAACCCACAAACAGTGAAAAGACAGTCTGGTAAATCCAAAGTTTGTAAAAACTATGCACAAAACCCACCGGTATTTGGGGAAAGAGGCAAGGTTTATACAAGTTAGCAGTTTTAAAAATGTAACTTTGTTCTACTATCAATTACACATTAACATACACACACTAATTGAAAATATGCTACAACCATGTCTGGAAAAGCCAGTTTTAACATTTTCTAAATGGATTTTAATCCCACATTTACTGTATAATGTAGCTGTTAATACTGCACAAGTTAATAACTTAGCGATAATGTTTACTTTAAAACAAAGATAAAGGGATCTTCTCCCCCCGTAACAAATTCTTCAACATCAAACCTCATGCTTATAAAAATTTAAAACTTTCAGCAGTCTATTTCAAATGAAAGCCATTACAAACTTCTCAAGGTGTTCTCTATATTCCCGGTATGTCAACCTAGTTATCTAGTGTAGAATCCTTCAGAGAGATTTTCAGTCTCTCTCTCTTCACTGGATGGCCTGAGAAAAGGGGGAAAGAAAGTACAATAACTGGAATTAGGATTTTCTCCTATGAAGAAAAAAAGACATTAAGTCTGCAATTATATTTTTAAACTCATGAAAAGACTGAATCAAACCAAAAATAAACTTGACTTATTAGAACAGTCATATTATTTTTCTTCTTCAAAACTGTTACATCTTCTCCCAAGTAATATGCAGATGAAGCAAAATAACTCAGGAAAGTGTCACAGACCAAGCCTTTTCCATCATTTCTAGCTTAAAAGTGATTATTAAAGAACATGAGCGTGTTTTGTATCTGTGATACCAACACATTTCAAAATCTTAACAAAAAGTGAGGTTGATATACACATAGACAACAAGATTTCCCTCAATTTCAGAATTAGAAGGGATGCTTCAAAGTCCTTCAAATACACAATGGAACAAACCAAGACTTCAACTATGGCTCCATAGCCTATTTTAGGGTGGGTATTAAAAAACAGCCTGTGATGGCCGGGTGTGTTGGCTCATACCTGTAATCCCAGCACCGTGGGAGGCCGAGGTGGGTGGATCACCTGAGGTCAGGAGTTTGAGGTCAGGCTGGCCAACATGGTGAAACCTCCTGTCTACTAAAAATACAAAAATTAGATGGGCGTGGTGGCAAGTGCCTGTAATCCCAGCTACTGGGGAGGCTGAGGCAGGAGAATCACTTGAACCCAGGAAGTGAAGGTTGCAGTGAGCAAGATCATGCCATTGCACTCCAGCCTGGGCAACAAGAGAGAAACTCTGTCTCAAAAAAAGAAAAAAAATAGCCTGTGATTCTCCATCTAACTGTTTACAATTATCCTCTCACAATTCACAAAAGTGTGAATGCAAGTCATTACTAACAGTATCTCAGTAAAAGAAGTCCAGGAGCAGATATTTTCTTTTTAACTGCATTCCCAGCGAGCTCCATTCCCTTGAATTCAGTGGCAAAGTCATTGTCAATAAAAGGTTTTTACTCTTCTGCCTTTTTGAATTGTATCTTGCTTACTGAATTCAGGAATTGGGTGATCAAAAGATAATTGCTTATACTAAAATAACCTTGGAACAGAACTGTGATTAAAAACTTGAATAATAAAACACACAAGACCCATTAAAACCTATTCCTCACTTTTTCTTTGTGCTGGCTTCATGGTTGTCTTTGCTCTCTTCATTGCTCTCCCCGTTATGTTGTGGTTGATTACCGTCTTGAGCATCAGATCCTCCATTTAGAGTCTTTGACCCTTGAGAAGGAATCCAATGGAAAAACTTTGTTAAAAGCTTACAAAATAATAACTGAAAGTATCTACTAAAAAGTTCCAAAATCAAAATACAACATGGCCCTCGTGTTTCTACTAGTTTCTTTTATTTGAAATTACATTGTAATACAGCCCTCTCTTGAATGTTAGAATTGGGTTTTGATGCTTTATCAAAAAGAGGGGAGCGGATCACCACCGGAGGCTTTGGGTAGCTAAGGTACCATAAAAAGCAGTTTAACTGTATCTATGGTACAGGAAGTGGATTATTAATCTGGTTATTCTGGTGGTTACTATTACCAGGAAGACTACAGGGTGTTAGAATTGTTAGCATATTGATTTATTCTACTACTAAGAAAAAGCAATGTGAATCAAATTTTAAAATTTATTATTTAGAACAAAGTGCTAAAGGAGTATTTCCTAATTGATATTTTTGTGCCTAATAAATAAGGGGGGTTTTCCTGTAAGTCATATTAATAATTCTCTAAGGGGACCCATATCATTCCCCAAAAAAGCAACAACAACAACAAAAAAACAAAAGAAACAACCGCTTTTGAAATGCCAGCTTCTACCTTAAGCAGATGCCACTAAGATGTTTAATAACAAGACTGGAAGAGCTGATAACGGTACTATGATTCTGTTTTAAGAGTATTTCATACATTCTGAAATGTTGATGAGTGAAATGATATGTCTGGGATTTGTCATAAAACAACTTTTAAGAGGGGCACAGAGAAAGCTTTTGGGCTACAAAAGCACAATGA